ATATAAATACGAAAAAGTTTATAAAGCCCTGTAGCCATGTTCGGGCCGGACTTTGGCCCAAATATTTTTCGGACCGGACCGGACTTGACTTATAGTATATAGACAGATTTTACAGGTTTTGGGCCGAACCAGGTCGGGCTAGCTCATTTGACATGCCTACTCGAGGGTAAGTGATTTCACTGGTTGGCTATTTGAAGTCAGGTTGTTCGACCATTACAACTTGCTCACCAATGCTATTTATCCAAGTGCATATAAAAAAACCAAAAAAAAAATCAACGTGAATTTAGGCGAGCATGAAAGACGCCAATATGTAGAAAAACTTAGGAAATTACGAATAATATTAAAATACACTTAGAGATTCCCTAATATTGCCTCCTTCATTTAGGAAGTCGAATAAACACAAAAAGAAAAAGAAACATTGCGTGGGACCAAAAAGTCTCCATCAGACACCTAACGTTCCACACCGCCAAATATCTTAACAATGTCCGATACTTCCTTAACGTGTTCACACTCCTCTCTTTTGGCTTCTCGATTTATAATCATTTGAGATCTTATATTATAATAACATGATTGGGTTCGTATATAAAATATGTGTGTGTGAACACACCCACTCCACAAGTGTATTACAACAACGTTTATAAAAATGTGTTGACAAAAATGAAAATAAAAGAGTGGTGGAGAGAGATGTCCATATCTTAACGAAGAGAAAGAATCATACGTGTATCGTTCTAGTTCTGTTCATCTAAATATCGATTATCAAATGGGAAAATTTGTCGATTGACAAAATATCACACAACTAACTGAATTTATAAGTAGCGTATATACAATATTATTATGTACATAATTATAAAAATATGCAAACTAGCATTATCATAAGAAATATTTACTTTTATCATATTACATATACTGCTTAATCAGTCAAATCTAATTACATGCGATCAGATAAACGGTTTCATGGACGACTAAACGATGAAATTTTTTTCCATAACACATTCATCCACATCTTTGTAATTATAATATGCAAAAAATGCATTCTTTGGTAATTGAACTCCAAACTTGATGTGGAGCAATAAACTAAATCAATGTGCTTCTGCTTCCACCGAAGTATCAAATAATGTAAACGTCTAGCAATTAATTTGAGGTTTTCCAGCAAATATATTGTTTAAAAAATATTGTAGCCATCTAGTATTTACTACTGATCAATTCATTTCACAAAGTCCATGTACCCAACAATATAAATATTGCGATTTGCGACTAGTTTTTTACAATAGTTAGTTCACATTATCAAGTTGTAGAACATATTAATTGATTATTGCATCTACTTATTTTATAGTTGATCAATATTGTTTAGTACCACAACATAGTACTGAGATTTATGTAGTGTGGAGAAAAAGGCGCACATACATACACACACAATTTATTGTTGTTTCGAAATAAAGTTATTTAAAAATTATCTCGAACTATTAGTCATTTTAGCTAGAGAAATTTCAAAAAATACCACTTTTCAAATGCTATTTTACAAAAATGCCACACTTTTGAAATTTTTACAAAAATGCCATTTTTTCAAAATTATTTTTCTTTATATTATTTATATTTGGGTTAATTATGTTCTATTAGAATTTAGTTTTGAATGTTTAGAAGGTTTTAGGTGTCAAAACATTTTTTAAGNTTTAGAATTTTAAGATATATGTTTTATAAATGTATAATTAGTGAC